GTTTGAAAGGCTGAAGCACCAGAAAACAGGCTATAGTAAAATCTGCCAAAATCAGCCAAAATCAGCCAGGATCACGTCCGCAACAACCACAAAGTTTGTTGGAAGGAAGGGGACCTCAAAGCAGTTGAAACTTGAAAGGCCTTCTGTCCCAGGATGATTCGGCGATCCTCCATGGTTTCCACTGGATGTCCAGGGAGCTAGTCAATTCTGAAAATGTGTTATGCGGGTCCTGCCACAGCTGGCGGTAGGTAAGCACAATGGTTTCTTTAGCCGCCTGCTCCTTTTCCTCGTGGTACGCCCGTTTCATTTCTTTCCATGCTTCATGCGTCCGGGCTCTGATTTCATCTAGTAAGAAGATCAGGGAGACCATTGAGCATGTGTTCATACAATGTCCGGGTACAGTACAGTATTGTTATGGAGAAGATGGGACTGTGTGGAGAGGTTTAACGGGTATTGACTGGCCATGGGATTGGAGAGTCATTCTTTTGGGACATTGGGAACCAAATGATATACAACTTTCAGAGTTTCAGAGGATTTTTTTCAATATTGGCCGGAAAGCCATTCTGTGGGTACTATGGTACAAAAGGTATGTCCCTTTCACTATGGTACAAAAGGTGTGTCCATGAAAGGGAGGATGTGAAGTTGGAAGGAACAGAAGCCGCTGAGTTGATTATCCACTTTGTACAAACGGAAATACGGGCGTGTTGGTCATCTGTCTATACTAAGATGCAACATTTTCATCAGAAAAAGGATATCCTGAGTTTTATTCAGAAATTCAATCTTGACTGGCTGGGGGGGAGCTGAAGGAGGAAGCTTGGGAGAGGTGGGTGGTCGGGGGAAGAAGAGCAGGAGGAACCTCTAAAAAGGGACTTCCATCTCCTCTTCAGAGACTGGTTTTCACTTCAGCCAGGAGTTACATTCAGGTCCCCGGAATGCTTCCCTTATCCCTTCCCACCCTCGGAATTGGCAATGGTTGATCTTCAATGGTATCCTTTGGGGGATGGTTGATTTTCTCCTCTGAGTCATGCTCAAGTTACCGGAGTGCCCCCCTGATGCAGTCCATGATTTCACAGTTTGTTTTAGGAAATGGTTGTAACTCTCATGAAAAGTATTTCTTGGGGGACCACATCAAATTGTGCCATATGGGATAGTGCTGCTAGCATTAGGCCCGTTTTCCAGCAGGTGCAGCTCCCCACCAATAGACCGGAGCCCGTAGCTAGGTAGCTAGTGAAATGCTCCTACCAACATTAGTAGCAATCTAAGCCTTAAAAAAAAAAAAAAAAAAAAAAAAAAAAAAAGAATTCAGGACTGCTGCCTCACAGGCTAGCATCTGGAAAGCAGTTATGCCCTGGAAGGTGCAGACAGTCCTGCTGGGCATCCCTCCGCAGGAAGCGACTGAATGTTCGTCATTCATGACTAACCTATTTCAGTACTCTCGCAAGGCCATAATCATGGCAGCCTGGCGCATGAGATGCTCGCACGAAAGAAAACAACAGATGTTCAGCTTTCTGCAAGCCAGGGCCTCCATTGCTGACACAATAACAGCCAGTATCCAAGATGCCTGGAAGAGACTGCGTGACAGGCTCCTGCAAGAAGCAGATGGAAGGACAAAGGGACAAAAGGAAAAGGGAAGGAAGGGATCACAGAGGGAAGTAGGGCCGATAGGATCCAGAGGAGAAGTGAAGGATGAAGGGACAGCAGTCAGGATGGGGGAGGGAGGGAAGGTGGGAAATAAAGAGGGCAAGGAGAGGAGAATGAGGAAGGAGGGAAGAGTAAGGTAGGCCAGAAAAGGGAGAGGAGCGAAGGGAGGCAATTTGGACAAAGCAGTCGACTTAGGCAAAGGTCAGGACGGGAGAAGAACCTTGGGAGGGGGAGGAAAGCAAAGAAAGCCACACACAAACTGAAGGGAAGATGGATAAGGGAGAAGAAGAAGAAGAAGAAGAAGAAGAAGAAGAAGAAGAAGAAGAAAGAAGAATGATTCTGACTATCTGATGTTCCTCCAAGCAGGTTAGTATTGAGGTGGAGCATGATCGCCAGGGCCTCCAGTGTGCTCTAACATCCGCAGAGATCAAAATCCAATCACTGGAGTCCTACCTTGAGGAATACAAACAGGTGTGTCCCTTTTTCTGCAGCTCCACACTCTTCTTTCCCTCCGCTTTCCTTCTTGTTCTTCAGCTTCCCCTCTCACTCCAGTTCATGGTCTTCACAGAAACAGGGACAAGTGCATGCAACACATACCAATGCAACCATGTATTGATGAGTGCATCAGAATTCAACCAATGAAGCTTCAAGTTCCGCTTCCGAAAGAGGAACGCTTATTGCCCAACTTCCACCTACCTGCAGCTACTCCAACACCAGTTTTCTTATTACATACATACCTGGTCTATTCTCCATAAAAGGCTGAAATACTCATCTGATTCACTCTCCACAAAAGGCTTAAATACTTATCTGCTCTACTCGGAAGTCACTGTGTTTGTCTTTTGTTCCAAAAAAAGAGGGTGACAGCCTTGAGATATCAACTTTGAACTGACTGGCCCCAGTCAAATTCAGAGTTATTAGGCATCTGTTTCCATTGGAATTCGAGCTCAGGTCCACGGTTCAACAGTTAATGGGTGTATGAACTATTGTTTTTCATAAGGGACGCTGGGCCTGGTTCCCAGCACCTGACGCTCCCCATGAATAGACTGAAGCCTGTGGTTAAAAAAAAAGAAAGAAAGAAAGAGCTAAGCCAGTTGGTAGATTCTGTTTGTCTTGATTGCAGCTCTACCGAGCTATGTCCGAGAAGGATGAAGGCCCCATGACAGAAAATAAATAAACGAGAAATAAAATGAGGAACGGGATTACGGTTCATGCTCCGCTGGTCAAACTGAGGTGGTTTGGGAGGGAGGCTTCTTTGTCTGGTGTGACCAGAGGATTTACCTGCCGGGTGTATGCTTTTATTTTTCCCTTACTGTGTGGCAACATGAAAACAACAGTCTGGGACCATCTGGAAATGGTTCTGTAAATACTAAATATCTTATATGGGACACTGGATGCCAAAACTGGAATGATACAGAGATAGCAAAAAAAAAAAAGGGGGACACTGGACCTGGTTTCCAGCACATGTTGGTGCCCGCCAATAAAATTGGAGTAACCGGTGATAGGCCTGCTAGTAGAAGCCACTTGATTGGGGGTTGTTCCGGGGGTCTCACCCCTTGGTAACGAATCCACCATCCCAGTGTTTTGTTCCCCTAATGCACCTTCATATCAGACAAATGACATAACTTGTCCATTATTCTTTTATTGCTTCTAAATTTTCCTTTGAGGCTTTTACCATCAGAGAGAGGTCATTGGCAAAAAGAGAACATATCAGGATGACCTCCTCAGGGTTAGACGAAATTTGAATACGTCTGATGTCTCGATGATGCCTCAAATTAGCTGTCATGGCTTCCATAATGATAACAAAAAGGAAAGGGGCAATTCTGTCTCACAGAACGATGGAGTGAGATCGAGGGGCGACAATACCATTCACCATAACCCTTGTTGTGACGTTCTTATGCAGAATTTTTATTCATCGTCTAAAACAAGGGTCAAAGTTAAATTTCTCTAGACATTTATCTAGAAAAGAACAATTGACATGATCGTATGCCTTTTCAAAATGTATGAAATGAGAACTGCATCATGTTTGGATGGCGGGTGAGTCTAATTAGTTAATTAATGAGGAGAATGTTATCTTGAATATTCCTTCCTGTAATGAAACCAGTTTGTGCTGGATGAATTATATCTACAATGAACTACGGTTGGCTAATGCATTTGACATCAACTTATACACTACTGTAAGGGTGGTAGGGCGATAATTATAAATATTAGATTTATCTCCTTTCTTATATAGTAGCATTAGAACCCCTTGACCTACTAATTCACTCATGTGACCAATCACCTATACAACATGATAGAAGTCCAGAAGATCCTGAGAGAGAAGTCCCAATTTTTTGGTAGTCCATGAATGTCAGGAGTCTTTTCCTCTTTCACGAGCATTAGGGTTGTCCATATTTCTTCCTTTGTAATCGCCATTTCCAGTTTCTCCCTCGACTCTTCTATCAATGCTTTGGTCATAGGACTAAGAAACTCATTTATTTTTGTACTTCTATGATCACTAGGGATACCTGCATTTTTGGACAGAAAACGTTTTTTGAAGAAATCTCTAGTGATCTTAGTACAGGTAGTTATGGAGATGGCTAGAGGTTCATTCATTTGTTGAGGATTAGCCAAAGTTTCAATGACTGTTCTCCCAGTACGAACTCTAACCAACGCTAAGACCCTAACATTCATTGCCCGTTTCATATGGCAATGTTCGAGTTTGCCTCAAATTTTAATACCTTACCAACGGTACTCCATATGAGATAACAATTGGCTTTCTTCTTGTATTTCTGGTGCTGAAAGTTTAAAATCCTTTCAATGCCCCAGCCTCGTCTTCTTGTTGTTGAAGTTGCTGGATTCGTTGATACAATTGTGTTTTCGTAAAATGTCTTTCATCAGCTAGCAATTTTAAATATTAATTGCATTTACGACCTAGAAACGTTAGACAGTTGTTGAACCATTTTATATTGTCCTAAATGAGGGTCCTTTGTTCTCTCTATAAGGTCCACACATCCCTTAGATAAGTTTTGAAATGATCAATTTTGAGATCAAATGTACTCAACTTATTTCTCGCCCCGACCCTGATTTGGTTTCTTCCTAAAGGAAAGAATTACTAAACACATTGTATGGTCAAAACCTGGGAGTGGACTTTTTGGGAAAATTTCAGCTACCTGAAGTGCACCTCGTAATTCTTCAGACCATTGGATCAAATCAGTTCGAGATTTTATGATTTAGTATAATTCCTTGACTGTCGTTTTATGAAGCATGTATAGGTACGCCGTGAGGGGTTTATTCGCCTAAAGGAATCAAAAAGATTTAACGACGACTCAAATTGGCTATGATTAGCTCATATGTTTCCACATATGCAGGACATGGTGTTGGAATATGCCGTCTATCAAGGTGGCGATCAGGGGCAACAATGAAGTCTCCTGCTATGATGACTAAGATACCAAGTGGGAGTTGGGAGATAATGGCTTCAAAGAATCATTGTCCATCACCAACATCATTAGGTCCATAGACACAAAGAATACTGACTACCTCTTGTTCCATCATAGTTAGGATATACACCCATTTGCCTTCGACCTTCCTCCCTATCAATCGGCTCTGCTTTAGATCCCAGAGGTATCCAAATAGTCATTCCCGCACTCTTCCGTCTAGGTGCATGAGTCATAAAGGCTGTATGGGGCCATATTTCTTTGTGACAATGATGGTGAGTGTCATCCCTACTCGATTTTGATTCCTTGGTCCGATCCCTCTTCCGTTGGCCTCTGACTTGGTTGTTGTTCTTGTTGTGGTGGTGAAAATCATAATATGTAAATGAAATGTAACAAAACGAAAAAAAACTCTCATGGACTGTTCTAAGGGGTTTTCTGAAGCTAACCATCAGGTTGAATGATAGAGTTTGGTAGTTTGCATAATCCTTTTCGTCACACTTTAAACCAGTAGTATGAGGGAATCATGGCCCCGACCAACCAAAAGTTGCAACCGTATACGAGCAGGGCACGCTTCGGACATACTGACCTGCATGTGGCTGGTTCGATTCGTATTGGATGGGGAAATTTCATTGTGATTCCCTCCTACTAGTGGCTTAAGCAACAACCACCTGCCGACGTTGTAGGTGTGCACCGGCCAGTCAAAAGACTCAAAACAAATCAAAGTAGGTCATTTCCAACTTACATAAAAGTTGACAAAACACCAAAGCCTCCTTGTGAAAGGTGTGTCATGAATCAAACGGATATGTCACAGACCCCAACTCTTTCTTTTCCTTTTTGTTTCTTTCCAATGTATGTGCTATCATTCAATGTACGTAAATACTTATTTCGCACACGGATTGGATCATGTCTATTTTTTCCTGTTTGTTTTCATCCACGGATGGGATCATGTCACCATGCAGGAACAAGAGAGTCTGGCCGTGCGGCTCAGGTTAGAGCAGAACCGAGTCAAAGAACTAGACCAACTTTTGGTGGCCGTGCGTTTGCAAGAGCACAAGATGGAGTTATCAAACCAGGTGAGTCAACACAAACCTACTTCCCATCTACTATTTTAATATTTTCTCATTCATTTCTGTTTCTGCGAGCTCCCCAGGGGCAAAAAAGAGGCAGGGCCATAAGTGGACGCCCTGCCTGGGTAAACTAAGCAGGGCCCTAAGCGAAGGCTTGGCCTGTAAAAGTGAAGCCCCACCAGTTTCAGACGATGTCGGGCCAGGACGGTCGGGATACCAGGTCTGGGCACTGGCCAGATAGTTGGGATCCTGGCAGGCTGAGGCCGCTTCCGAAAGGTACCGGAAGGGAGTGCCTACCAACCTGTCCAGATCCCGGCCTTGGCATAAGAGAAAGAGGTCAGGGCAGTCAGGGGGGGTTTCGGACAGGCAGACTCCTGTGCTGCTTCAGTGCACGCGTGCTGGGAGAGGCAAACCTACTCTCTTCCCCCTAATAGATCTACGCCGATTCTACGGTCATTATCGTTGTATTAGGGGCTAGATACAGGGACAATGCCTGTGCGTTCTATCTGGGGAAAGACAGCAGCAGTGAGCCAGGGACAGTGAGGGGAACAAGACAGGGCCAGCCATAGCTGAGCTGGGACCTGAGGAAGGAGGTGGCACATGTGAGGGAGATCCTGGGAGGAGGAGGAAGGCCATAGGGAGAAGGGTTTGGCGAGCGATATCCCTGGTGGTCACCAAGACAAGCTTCGGCATGGTACATTATGACTTCAGGCATCAGTGGGAACAACATTGTACTCTACGGCATGGTACATTGGAGTGTTTTTTTTTTTTTTTTTTTATTAAGAAAACAAAACATTGGCGTAGTATAGGCTAGGGTAATGAAGAGAGGAGGCGGCCACACATTGAGCTGATAGTTATTACCATCTTCACCTGACTAGAACAGCCAGTCATGATCGCTATATCTAGATTCTAGATTGGAAGTTGCACCAAATATATGGCTATAATGACCAACCGTTCTATTCAGGTGAAGACGGTAGTGAGACAAACGGACAGCAGTTCGCAGCCCAGAATTGGCTTTCCAATACCGAAACACCAGCGCGAGGCTGGTCTAGTGGGACCTGGAGCTGGCACGCCTTAGCGCTACTTCAACAATGGAAACATGGGCAACGGAGGGGATGTGCATGTGCACGTTGCATTTGCTCATGCTGCCGTGGATACGAGCGCCCGGGGGCGCATGTGGCCGCGGCTGGCGGACGCGTCTGCGCAATGAGTGGGCGAGCGAGGCCAGCAGGGCGCGCGTGAGAACTTGGCATGAAGAGCATGTAAGGTTGGTGGAATGGGCGCAGGCATCCTCTACAGCCTGCTGGCATCGCTGGTGGCCGGAAGGGAGTTACCAAGGTCTCACTCGTCAGCTGCTAGCCCATGAGCGAGCATGTCATGTCGATACTAACGTTGCATTGAGGTTTTCTGGTTCTGGAGCAGGTGCAGGCATGTGGCCGAAAGGCTAATTTACAGACGCAATGAGGATTCTCGAAGGCAGCAACAGGCTGGTTCCTCTACACTTGTTTCCCCCTGGCTTTTAAAAGCACTGGTGTGCCATCTCTCTGTTCCGCGCTCCATACGAGTGATGCTGCAGTCTAGCATGCCGTACAGTGGGGAGTATTGCTTTTGTTGAGCTTTGCTTTAGGAGTGATAACTTCTACTCTTTGTCTTGCAAATTTGTGGTGGAGGAGGTCGGCTAGCCGCAAGAAGAAGAAGAGTAGAGTGTGTCCCTTGGGGTGGGAGGAGGATTGTTGGGAGGAAATGAGTGGGTGGTCATCGAGTGAAGTCCAAGATCTACTCAAGGGTTCATTACAAGAGCGAGGGCTTCTACTCGAGGTTACTGGCCAACTGATCATCTTCCTATTCGTTTCATCTACCGAGGATCATCATCACTGCCAATATCTTCATCATCATTGTCTTCACCATCTTCAGCGACTCGTGAGTAGGTATCTTTATCATCGGTAGCAGCAGCAATCAACATCATCAATCATTGTCATTATCAATTTTATACAAAGGTAAGTTGCGCCGTTATTATTGTTGTCATCATCATCATTATCATCTTCACCGTTGGTATGAGGTGTAAATAGGGGTAGATTTAGGATGGGGTGTCTCTATTTCTATTCTAACTCTACTCTCCTTCGTCATACCTTTCATCTTATCATCTCTACTTTTTCCTCCTTCCCCTCCTTTCTCTCCTTCTGTTCCTCTCTCCTGCACGTTGTTCTGGTTCGCTACGCTGCTTACTGGCTCGCTGTGCTGGTTTGCAGTGCTTCTCGCTGGATTCACACTGCGGCAGTGCTGATCCAGTGGCACTACATGTCGGCTTGCGGCGTTGTGAGCTGCCTTGTAGGGCTACAAGCTGGCTTGCAGGGTCGTGCGCTGGCATGTGCTGAGGGAGAAGGGGCAGGGTACGAAGGAGGGAGGGAGTAAGGGAGGGGGAAAGTTGGGGGCAAAGATCGGGGTACAGGGAGGTCGAGAGAATAAAGATAGAAGGGGAGGGGGGAGGCTCACATACTCCTCATCTCAGTATTCTGACATAAGGCGTTTTTTTTTTTTTTCTCACGATCTGCTTTTTTAGCAATCCCTGAAATGCTATTCTCATCAAGATCGTCCTTACTTCTTTTCTCCTGTTTCAGCTTTTTTCTTGACTAAATTTACTACTTTAATCAATCATCATCGACCACAAATATTCTCACAAGTAACAATCTAATTAAATAATAAATCCCTAATTAATTTTTTGAATATTCCTGATTCTTCGTAACTCTCAAGATCTGGATCTTCACTATTAATTATCTTGGAGGGTATTATCTAACACCTAATTATCTTACTATTGAATTATTGAATTTCTACATCTTATCTAGTATCTACATATCAGCTATTCTACCCTAATTCAAATGCCATAATCTAATCTGGTCTTCTAAGTTACACAACCACTGTCAATTCGTCCACTTCATTATTTTCTCTATTAATAATCATTGGTTTTCCTCTCTGCGCTTCTATGCTTTTTCTGATGATTGGAGGATCGTGGTAGTAAGGGAGAGCTCCACTCTGCAAGGGTGACACAAGGTGGGAAGTGTCGTCCTGGAGGGAGTGCGGGCAGAGTTAGGGGTTGACCTAGTCTGGGGTTGGGGTGGGGTTACTCATCCCAGCAGGGGTAGATTAGGGTAAAGGGTGAGTAGAGGCATACTTTGGGAGGGAACTGTATGCCTTGAAGGGATAGGGGAGGGGATTGTGGGTCTGTCCCAAGTTGGGGCCGAGATGGGTTAACCATTTCGGTGGAGGTAGCTTTGGGATAGGTTGGTAAGAAGGGGGGAGGGAGGAGAGCTTCTTTTCCAATTTTCTGAGTAACAACGCTACGATTGTGACAGGGAGACAGACAGTTGTCTTTAAATATCCAGGACAAGAATAGCACATCATCATCAGCATCATTATCATCATCGTCATCATCATAAAAAAAGGGGTTATGTCATGCTTATCTGGTCGACTTACATTTCGAGCCGCCATCTAGTTTTCTTCTCATATCCAATGTAGGATTTTACAGATGGTAGAATCCTATCTGATGTCTTACCAAGCGTGGGTTTTTTCTGCTCTCGGTTTGCTGCTGGTGTTTGCTATAGTAGTGCTCTGAGCTCTTGGTTTGTTGATGCCAGAACGACGGTGCCCGGTCCTGGGGTGTTTGGCCTGCGACCTGTTTTGGAGCAGGAGCGTGAGGCCTGGTAGAGAGATCTGGGGATTTGTCGAGGGAGGAAAGGCAATCCAGTGGCGAACTAGGAGGTACTACCAAGACAACCTTTGAGGCCGGGTATAGTTTTGGTAGTGAGAACACGACAGCGATGGCAGGTATTGGGCAGACTGATTTTACCTTTGGAGTACCGAGTCTGGTTTAGTGGAAAGCTAGGAGTCGCTCATTGATTGTGAGGCTGCGAGTGGTGGATGTAGTCATCATCTTTGTCATCATCAGCCGATTTACTTATCTCCATCATCTTTAGCATCATCATCATCATCATCAGCAGCAGCAGCATTACAATCATTATCATATGAGGGACGCTGAGCCCCCGGTTCATGGCATGTTCGGTTCGGTCACTCCGGGTAGACTGTGAGGACCCCGGCCTCAATCTTCTTATTGGTAATATCAGCCTTGGGCACTGGGCCCGGTTAAAAAAAAAAAAAAAAAAAAAAAAAAAAAAAAAAAAAAAAGACAAACGGACAGCAGAGAACTATGATTGTTGTTGTATTGATGATTGGGAGGCAAGAAGAGGGTTTTTCAACATCAAGAGACTTCAACAACATTGTCAACTTTGTCTTTTTTTAACTTTTTTTTGTTTTTTAAGAGAAAACAAACCCTGCTACCGTCTTCCCCCGAATTGAACAACTTATGGTCATCATAGCTGTATTTGGGACGCCTTTCAGTCTAGATGCAGTAATAACGACTGTGTGTTCTATTCCGAGGAAGACGGTATTAATCAAGGCCCCAAATGAATGCTCGTCACGCGAGTTCATTGCGCTTTTAAATTTACTTTCTCCAGTGCGGTTTCCTAACTTTCCTTGCATTTCATATCCATCACCAGAAACTGATAGAAATGACTGAAATGACTTCAATAATTAGATGAGGGAGAGACGCCCTTTGTTTTTTTTTTTGTCTTTTTGGAACCAGCCTACCAGGGGACAAGTTTGTTCGTTTTTGTTTGTTTGTTTGTTTGTTTGTTTGTTTGTTTGTTTGTTTGGTTGGTTGGTTTTGTTTTTCCAGTCATTTTTGCGCTTGTAAATCCTGTATAACAGTGTAAGTCGTAAATGCTTGATGACTGAGGTTGATGAACATTTCCTCAAATTTGAAATATTTTGCTCGTGCCACGAAATTGAACAAGGACTTTTTCATTGTCACTCTGACCCTTCCTTGATTCCAGGCGGTATCCATTAACAATTCAACACTGAGCTTCGACACCAGATTTGGAAAAAAACATACAAAAAGAGGCAAAGAGATCCTTGTTCAATTTCATCGTGCGAGCAAAATATTTCAAATTTAACGAAAACTTCGAAAAGTCAGTTTTTTTCTATGTATTTTCCATTTTTCACAAAAATGACCATATCATCATTATAAAATATTAGAAATTAATACGGGCACTTAAAAAAATAAATAAATAAATAAATAAAGCCATGGGCACTGAAATTTAACATTTGGAAATTTTTGGAAATGCAGAATGCTGACAACAGAAATGCCAAGATGCAAGACATGGTGTCCTGCCTGCAGAAGAAGATAGTCGGACTTGAGCATCAGGTAAATTACGATTCCTATTTCTTTTTTGAAAATTTGAAAGTTTTTTCTTTGAATTTGTTTTCTGAAATTCTTTGTTCAAGACCAAGATCTCGGGGGTCTGGATTCAAAAAGCCTCGACTTCATTTTTTATTTTATTTTTTGTTTAAAAAAGGAAGTCCTCTCTTTTACCTCCCATAGTCGCAGCCCTTATTGTCTCCAAAAAGATCTTCAAAGACCCCTTTCAAGTATTTTCTTTTTCTTTGCCCTTCTCATTTTCATTTCTTTCTGAAGCCTTACAAGTCATCTTACTCTTTTCTTTTCTTATTTTTAGTAGAGGCTGGATGCTAGGCCTCCGGAGGTGCCCGTCGTTGTACTCAACCAGTGGGGAGATCAGATGGCTTGTGAAAGCCCCAAGGACAGTCTCCTCCAGGGGGCATCATTCGTGAACTCTTTTTTGTTGTCCTAATCAGATCGCAAGTCGAGCCCTACAGCGGTGCGACCCAGACCTGTCTCTAGACCTAGACCTACACCAACCCGAGCCTTCCGAGGGTCTCAGATGAGTGTCCAAACCACACCCCCCCCCCTCCCCAGGCGCTACCATAGGGACACCCCGAATTCTTGAGGACGACCCGGCCACAGGAGGGGTCACGGATATGCGGTCATTCCTCACCTGTATCACATCTAGCAGACTCTATGGGTGTCTACCACCCTTCTACTATCAATGCGATGACCCACCTCATCAATGAAGGAATTCGAGGTAATCAATTTCCAGTTTTGCGCTCAATAGTGCAATGAGCCCTTCGATTATGAACGGGTCCAGGAATACTCAATGTATGCACCTCCATGGAAGTATTCCCAATGTACACAAAATGCGACAGCTCACAATGCAGAACGGGTCCCGGAATACTCAATGTATGCACCGAATAAGCAGCAAGTCACCAGAAAAGTACAACAACTCAATCCGCTCTCCCACCCTTCTTCTCGTTGGGGACCTTCGTCTACCAACTCGCCATCTTAGGAGTGCAAGTCTCTCTTCAAAGGCACTGATGACGAAGTCTCCCTGCAGGCACCAGCTATGGTGGCCAACCTCCAGCATCAATGCTGCTGGCTATTGATGTTGGTTGGTGCCAGCCCTCTTCGACCTCCTGATGTGACCAGCAGCAGCTTCAGTATCACCAACACCCATGTAAGTCAAGGTAAGCTTTCCACTCTCTCTCTCTCTCTCTCTCTCTCTCTCTCTCTCTCTCTCTCTCTCTCTCTCTCTCTCTCTCTCTCTCTCTCTCTCTCTCTCTCTCCACTCACCACTCCTAATAATATTATTGTCCCTTGATCTAAAAGGTTTGGAAGATTGGATCTATGATCGCATGAAGCTAATTCAACTCTGTGGACGATGTTATGGTGTGTGGTGTCGCCTTTGTGCCTTACAGATACAGACGCTTGAAATGACAAGAGATGCGCAGAACATAGAACTGGCCAGGCTGGAAAGCAAACTCAGCGCCCAAGTGTTCAAGAACGCAGCTATTTGTGAGGGTAGAGAGGTCAGTTCTCTCTCTCTCTCTCTCTCTCTCTCTCTCTCTCTCTCTCTCTCTCTCTCTCTCTCTCTCTCTCTCTCTCTCTCTCTCTCTCTCTCT